AGATCACTATGTAAGCCGCAGGGCTAGAAGTACTAGAAAATCGAATCATAGTCTGAAACAAACTGTGCTAGTTTTCAGGTGCATTCTTGGTCACAGCGAGTGCCAGCCAATCAGCTGGAAATCAGAAAAAGTTTCTCCAGCATTAAGCTTAATGAAGCTTGTTTGCATGGAGCTATAGGAGTAAGAGCAGTTGGCGTCTTGCCACGTCTGCAGAGCGTGAGTTAAAGTCTTTTTAAGTGAATCTATGGCACCAGAGGGTGATTGCCCTTTGTTAAAACAAAGGAGATCCAGGCCATTATCTGGCCCCAGCGACACACAAATGGATTTAAATGAAGCTCAAGCCAAAGGACACAGCACTTTTGGACTTTCAACTTCACCACAGAGACACCTCACTCATCCAGGGATGAATGTTCAACTATGTATCTTTGCACTGGTGGAGAGAGAGAGAAAGAAAGAGAGAGATACTTTATTGATTCCTCATAGGATCATTCCAGCAGCAAAAAGACATTTATTCATTCAAACAAGAAATTACAGTTTCAACTTGAAAAATCTGACTGAAAATGTATTTTGCGTTCTCCTGTGTCCTGAGTCCTGGATCCACAGCCTCAGTCCTCGTCCTACAGCCGTAGGACGAGGACGGCCGTAGGACGAGGACGAGGACTGTTTGCCATCTGTTTGCTCACTGGGTTTTATTGAGTTGTTCCTTGCTGATACAGGAAGGTCTGAGGACAGTGGTGATCCAGGAAATGTAACAACATTTATGAACATTTATGGACCATGGTCATCTGCCCCATATGGGCCAATAGCTCTTTTTAACATATTTTCGGTGCATTTCTTGTGTTTGAACTGTTTGATTTTCTGATCTGTGTCATCTAAGATCAGGTCTGTTGCGATTTCGGGCAACAAAAAATTTATTGAATTTATTTTAATTGAATCTAAAGACGACTCCCTGTTTTAGGTGATCATTTTTTTCTACTTTAGATTATATGTTTAAAAGTATTTTACAATTTCATAGTGGTTTGATTATGGGCAAAGACTTACAATCCTTAGTGATTTAACAAATGTTGTCTTGTCCATTTTACTAGAATTCGATCTCTATGAAAAGTCCTTTCAACAAACAGAAGACGTTTTTCCACAGTGAGAGCACATTTAATTAGATAAGTCTCTTTTATACAGGCTTGGCGTTGACTTCCATTCAGTGTAATGTTCTGCAGCCGAGCGAGAAAATGAGACTTTTAGACTCTGTGTCTGTGATTGTGTGACAGGCCGGGGACTGGAGAGAGCGAGAGAGAGAAAGACCATTCCTCCAGTGGATGCTGCTTGATCTGCTTGATTTGGGGCCATCCATCCTCTCTGGCCTGGTCTGGATCAGTGTAAGAAGTAAAAGAAAAATATGAAAAACAATACAATATAATATATCATTATTATCATGAATAATTCAGTTTAATACAAAGATGTTTAAGGTCACTCTAAGCTGCGCAGAACTAAATATTCGACAAAAGATTAGTACTGGTTTATCTATTTTCCAACAAATTATTCTTGCATCACACGCGGTTAATCATCAAAACGTGTTACCATGTTTTTAAGCAAAACAGTGGAGTTTGATCTTCCATGTCGTCCTTCCACTTCCCAGAATGAATGGAAAAAGGTCTTGTGTTTTTCTGTGGGGCCTAAACCTGCAGTAACTCTTTCTCTCCGCGCCACACTCGTTTTTGGATATATTGATTCGCGCATCTTTCCGAGACCTTTGTGAATTTTCGAGGTTTTATGCTCGGCTGGAGTTAATAGAATTGAAGAGGAAGAAGCCTGCACTCGGAGCCATTTAAAAACAATTAGCATGTATCATTAGCCACGACGCCGGCCGACAGGGGAAGCACCTGGAGAAGGAATGAAGCAAAGAGGAGCAGGATAATCAGATCATCTCCAAAACGCTGTAAAGTCTCTTATGCAAATCAGTTTGGATAATGTCAGGGAAGTCGTAAAAATACAATGTCATTTAATGCCAACTTGAGCTATGGCAGTAAAGGAGTAAGTCACTGCAGAAAAAAAATAGTAAAACTTAGCAAACTTTCCCTGCTATATCATAGAAGAGATAGTAAAAGTATCCACCAGTGAAAGCAGATATCTAATTTAAAGCTGGGTCACCTAACAGTATTAACATTACTTTTTTTTCATAAATACTACATTTCTCTAACATGTAATAAAAGAAAAATGTGGTGAACAGATCCCACCACAACATGCTGTCTTCGTGCTTCTGTGAGAATTCCAATGCTAACTGCTGCGCGTTATATTTGTATACACACATGTAGTCCGGTAATTTTAAAATCATGCTCTATGTCACTCCGCCACAGTTGTTGCCATAGAACGCGGAGTCCAGAACACCACAAAGTGCAGCGGTGTGTTGTTGCCCTTCGTTGTTTAATCCTTACGTATGTCTTTTGTATTATGCTTGTTAGAAAAGCCCTGTGCGTCACTGTTCTTGGGTTTAATTAAACTGGTCTGTAGGGGGCAAATGAGCAGAGATGGGACAACTAAATCTTGCTTTCATTCGGGTGGCCTACAGGGGGCGCTTGTCTGGGAAAGCCTTGATCCACCTCGCCTGCCTTTTTTCAAAGTGTACGCCTTTAACTCATGTCTTTCTCTCTATTCGCACGGTTGCAACAACCGTAAACCGCACAGAAAGGTGGTATTTTGACAGCGCTTCTTCTACTACATCTCCGTGTATAAACCCGGCAGACTGCACCGCCAGGGTACGTCACGTCCTGTCCGGTCCTGTCCCACGTGTGTCATTCGCACACTGCTCCAACGTCATATGAAACCCAAGAATTTGATGCTTTGGGATGAGAGCTAATTGGCTGAGTGAGCGTGGTTCTCTATTTTTCACTTTCTCCTCCGAGGTTCACCTGTGAGTGTGGCTCCGCCCTCAGGATACAAAATGGCAGACGAAGGCGCACTCTCTTTTTAGGTATGTAAGATAAACATGAATATTTAAGACATTATAAAGAGACAAAGCAACCCACTTTGTTAAATGTTATCTAAAGATGTGACAGAAGCAAAAAAATATTTAGTTTTGAATGATGCATTATGTGTCAATTTATAATCTGGGCTGTGTTTTTTAAATCCATACAGTCATCCATTACTGTGTGTGTTTGTGTGCGCGTGCGTGTGCATGTGTGGGTGTGTGTGTGTGTGTGTGTGTGTGTGGTGTGTGTGTGTGTTAGTTACATGCTCATGGCTTCTCTTGTGTTCTACCTGTGACCTATAAAATTATAAAGTCTCATTACATTTTTAACTTGTGACATTTGGGAAATGAAAGTAAAACAGATGGTCAAACTCAGCTCAGCTTTATCCTGATAAATGTAGTGTGTATTCTGGTCTTCTGTGGATACTCCAGAATAAAGACCAAACCGTTAAACACCCTAACCCATACAATTTATGCCATGAATCAATGCCAGAGCAAAGGTACCTTACAGTGGCTGAAATGGCTGATAGATTCATGTGCTTGGGTTTCAGATGCTATTTTATCTAGCTTTTTGGTACTTTTCTGGCACATTTAATAATAGTTCATATGTTTTGTCAATAGTCACACAATTGAAGTACCTCACATTAGCTTGATGGAGGCTTCTCTCCTCTTTCTCTGTGGCGTCTGTGATTATTAATGTACAATGGGAGCAGTCTTGAAACCACACATTATTCATCGCATCATTCATCGCAGCAGGAGAGACTTGACCTGTGAGCTGCAGCATTAGCACCTGTGCCTCCGCGGGCTCCTGGCTGCGGGACAAGCGCTCCCTCGACATGGCTGCCAACCACAAAAGATCCACAAACGCAGCTTTATTTGAGGATTCCGGATCACAGCGTTTATTGGGATCTGGACGGTGGTTAAATGAGAGAGCCAAATATAATGTAGATAGATATATAGATAGATGCATAGATAGATACTGGGCAGCATCCTTTCCGCTGGTTAATTTGTGCAGAGTCTACTCAGTTTGGACCATTTTCTCTGCTCTGGTTCAGAGTGAAATTCTGAATGCTTTGTTTGCATATTTCCCAGTGGATTTATCCAGGAGTTAAACTGTGAGTGGTTCGATTTTTTCTCTACGTGTGCATAGATCTGTTTGCTCTGATGTGCATATTTTGCGCACACACAAAAACGCAAAAATCATAACCCTTGAAGTGGCCCAGATTCACCCAGACTCGAGCTCATAAATGAAGTTTCAGACCCAAGCTTTACATGAATGTTCTGCTGTTTCCCACTGACCATGAAGTCGGGTCAAATACATACATGGTCTTTCTCGGGTCAAATACACACATGGTCTTTCAAGGCTTTGGCTCCGAAACTGAATTAAAATCAATCCTCTTTAAGATTTGGTGCATGGTGAATAAATCCCACATGTTTGGCTGTGATTAATTATGATTTTCTAATGAGAAGTTGAGCAGGACACACACCAGTGAAGTGTCAAATTGAACCAGTAATGAGCAGCTATTTCTCCTGGAATTATGAATTTCTCAGCCTTGATAAGGTCAGCTTGGACACACTGCAGAAAATTGGCTTTTGCAGCTTCGCCTCTGACACAACAGCTCAAGAGTCGGTGATGGATATAAGACACTGTTAGTAATAATAATAATGCATTTTATTTCTTAGGCGCCTTTCTTTACACTTGCCTTATATACAAGTGAAAAAGTGCATTTTAAAAACAGTTAAAATACAAAGTTAAAAGTATCATGGACAGAGGATTTGAACAGTGTGAGTGAGTCGGTGTTACGGAGGTCAGGGGGGAGAGGATAACTTTGCTTGTGGAGGTTGTGGATACATTTTAATGTGAGGAGCAGGATTTTGTGGATGCAGTGAGAAATGGGGAGCCAGTGGAGTTGTTGGAGGACAGGGGTGATGTGGTTGATGGAGTTATTATTGCCACATATATAAAATTACAATTACAAATCATTGACTCAAGGAGACGGTATGTTTTTTTTTTCTTTTTTCTTTTTCAATTGCATGGTCATACCTGCCTGGGAAATACCTCAAGGATCTGAGGGAGTGAGGAGGTTTGGATCTGTGGGTCTAAGGGAGTGAGGTCTGAGTCCGAGGGAGTGAGGAGGTCTGAGTCTGTGGATCTGAGGGAGTGAGGAGGTCTGAGTCTGTGGATCTGAGGGAGTGAGGAGGTCTGAGTCTGTGGATCTGAGGGAGTGAGGAGGTCCGAGTCTGTGGATCTGAGGGAGTGAGGAGGTCTGAGTCTGTGGATCTGAGGGAGTGAGGAAGTCTGAGTCTCTGGATCTGAGGGAGTGAGGAAGTCTGAGTCTCTGGATCTGAGGGAGTGAGGAAGTCTGAGTCTCTGGATCTGAGGGAGTGAGGAAGTCTGAGTCTCTGGATCTGAGGGAGTGAGGAAGTCTGAGTCTCTGGATCTGAGGGAGTGAGGAAGTCTGAGTCTCTGGATCTGAGGGAGTGAGGAGGTCTGAGTCTGTGGATCTGAGGGAGTGAGGAGGTCTGAGTCTGTGGATCTGAGGGAGTGAGGAGGTCGAAGGCTGCGGGAGGGACAGTGATGATGGAGGAGATCAGTGAGGTAAGAAGGAGCAGGTTATGGAGGGACCTGTAGGTGAGGAGGAGGACCTTGTTTTGGATGTGGTGTGGAACAGGGGCCAGTGGAGTTGTTTGAGGACGGGGGCGATGTTGTCTCTGCAGCGGGTACGACAGAGTTCCGGATGTATTGTCGTTTTTATTTCAGCAAGAGAAATGCAAATATAAAATGCATTCATATTGTAGTAAATAAATAATAAATAGTATAAAATAACTCAAGCTTACTGAACATGTCTCATTGGCATCAGCGCTTTAAACCCTAACCCTAACCCTGACCCTAACCTGAATGCTACATGGAGGTATTGTGTGGGGGCTGAAGCTCAGAACACAGAGCTGGACATTCTGAAAGAAACGGAGGATGTAATTATTGTGCCGTCAGTCACGGAGAACGGTATTGAACCCAGAGACAGTTCAAGTAAACACCGCACTGACCTGTCTGTGTTCCCGGCGCTGCAGCAGACAAAGGAACCAGCAGGTTTTCTTTGATACAAAACATTAAATATGCAACCCACAAATCAAGTTTAATTCATTCTCAGAGAAAGCAGTGATTATGCTTTGACAGTGTAGGAACAGCTGCACATTATGGGAATAAAGAAATATGGAATAAAGAAACCTCTGGTGGCTCCTGAGTGGAAAACTATTAGTGACTTTCGGTAGCATTCAGAATACCAAAACAATGGGAATACATTTTATTGTTTTACATACAATATATGTCTCGTTCTTTGGAGGAGTTGCGACAGAGTGAGAGACAAGAGAGATGGTGAGAGAAAGAGAGAGACACAGAGAGAGAGATACAGAGAGAGACATTCCTCAATGAGGTTTATGATTATGAGCACAAACCACATTCTGAGAAGTATTTGTTGTGAACAGTGGGGACCAATAGAATGCGATCAGAGAAAAACACTTTCTCTGCTCTCAGCACAGCATGGATCTATACCACAAAACATGTGACATCATCATTAAGGGAGAATAAAGAAAGGTTAAAGACAGAGGGCGTCAGACTGGTCCTCGAAAGGCCAAGCACACAGCACAAGATAAATGAACAATAATTACATAATTACATCAAATAAAATCTCTAACTTTATCATAGTAAATAATCTAGTGTACAATCTATAACATTAGCATTAGCGTTTAGCTTTAATAAGTATAACATCTCTAACATTAGCATCATAAAGAAGCAAGTATGAAATCTGAAACTTCAACAAAATAAAGAAGCTAGTATAAAATCTCCGTTAGAATAATAAAGAAGCCCTTTTTGAAATATTATATGTTCTATTTCAAGACACACTTCAATCAATATACAAACGTACATTAAAAATACATGACAGAAAACCCAAACAATACCACCACTGCCCAACAAAATACAAAATTCTTAACCTTGAAAATCAATTATTTTATAATAATGTGGTTCTACTTTTTAAAATTATAAATAGTCTTATAGCCCCACCCCTCAGGAAATATGTGTCCTTGCGCTCTGAAAAAATGACCCGTTCCATTCGATCTACAGCGCGAGGAGAGTGCAGCGTCCCAAAATGTAGGACTTCTTTCAGAAAGTCTGAAAGCCTTCTCCGTCACTGCAGCGACTCAGTGGAACTCACTCCCAACTCACATCATCACCTGCACTGAACTCAGGGTGTTCACACGCCTGACAAGAGCATGGCTCCTGGAGAGGCACGTCTGTTCCCATGTGTGATGAGTGTCTGCGTTAGTGTGTGTGTGTGTGTGTGTGTGTGTGTGTGTGTGTGTGTGTGTGTGTGTGTGTGTGTGTGTGTGTGTGTGTGTGTGTGTGTGTGTGTGTGTGTGTGTGTGTGTGTGTGCGTGTGTGTGTGTGTGTGCGTGTGTGCGTGCGTGCGTGCGTGCGTGCGTGCGTGCGTGCGTGCGTGCGTGCGTGCGTGCGTGCGTGCGTGTGTGTGTGTGAGAGAGAGTTCAGTGTAGGATTGTATGAAAGTTAAGAATGGGGGCTGGGTGTTTTTATTTAATTTTATTATAATCTAATCTGTGATCAATTACATTGTAATATATGTCTGATAATGTATGGTAATGTATCCATTTACTTTTATTTGACTGTTTTACAACAACCTGCTCAGGGACTACAGGTGTAGTATTAGCACTGCTGCTAAAACCTGGTACAATGCATCTCTCCTTCTGGCTAATGTTTATTGTACACTGTCCCTGTAATAATAAAAACCATACCATACCATACCATACCATACAACTTGTCTGTATACTTCTGTACATGATAGCAGCAGGTGGTCGCAGCGTCCTCAAGTCTCCAGGTTCACACTGGACTCTCTTGAGGCAATGGGTGGAGTCTGCTGTGCTCCTGCTTGGTTGGAATGAGAACCAGTTTCACATCCCTGGTCCGAGATATGGAGATGGTTTTCTGTTTGCAAAGATCTCACAGGTTGCCAGATTGGTATAATGTTTGGGTCAAATGTACAGATACAAATTATACCTTCAGTTGCAATACTGTGGATAGTTTCTTGTACAGTGTTGTGGATATTTATTGCACTGTGCAGGCATAAAAACTCCATGAATAAAGTATAATCACCTGTTTTTTATCCGTAGTCTCATGTAGAGACAGTTAGATCAATCATGAAGTGTTTTCGTATAAATCAAAAGGTATTTTTGTATTAACCAATGTGTAATGGAGCAGACACTTTGTTGTTGATTTGTCCTTCACGGAACAATGAAGCCCAGTGTTTTTTAGAGAGGAAGGACCTCTCCTCTCACCGGAGAGGAGGCCGAAGCCAGGACCAGGGCCTGGTCCAAGCCCAGGACCAGGACCGTCCTGAGACTTCTTCCAAATTTGGGGCCAAAGATGACACCCCCAGATTCTCCTCCCCTTTGCACATTTTGATATAATTATTTAACTACATTGTGAGTCAGTCTGAACAGGGACAGTTAGGGATATAGAAGCTCAAAAAGTTTTGAGTTAGTATTTAACTGTACAAAGAATTTAATGTTTTTATTTGAACTCTTGGTTGTCTTGGTCTTTCTTTCTGGTCAAATTTTGAATCATTCACATCACAAAAACAACAATCCTGTACGAGATTTTTTTCTGCAACTTAAGCCTTGGGTTTGTCCTCTGGGGCATGATTTTCCAAAAATACAGTGTGCTGATTCATTCCTCCGCTCTTGTTTGAATAGTTTTCTGGTAGAGTCTAATGGTAAGCTCCAAAAAGTAACACGTTCATTACGTCTTTGTTTATGTTTACCACAGCGGACTCTGCCCATTTCAGATTCAGATGATCAGATTCAGTTTGTCTCAAGACCCCCTCAAAAAAGAAATGGTTCTTTTCAAGGGGCTATTCTTAATTATTGTCTGCCATTGACGTGTTAAAACGTCAAATGCGCTTTTTACTATTTTAATTTCCCACAGGTTTTTTATATCTAATATGTATGGGGATTAGCTTTAGAGCATATTGTATCAAGCCAGCAGGTGGCACCAGCGCTGCCTCTGTATGTTTTGAAAATAGAATGCACTTGTTTGCGCCTCTTTTTCTCAGCTTTTTGTCTGAGACTGGAGACTGGTGATTTCAATAAAACTTCCCTCTACTCGACTGGGGATTACAGGGGAATGAAACAAGCTAACAACAAAACTATTTCTTCTGATGAAAGTAGACAGTCCATTCTGTCAGAATCTGGTATCTCAGATAGTACACAATATTCTGTGGGTCTTGAAAAATCATCAGAAATTGCTGGCAATATGGGAGTACCTGTTCTGAAATGGAATGGCAGGCAATGAGTTAAGAATGCTATATAAATACATATTCAATTTGCAGTAAAACTGCATTGGAATAACTGTGCAAAAGTACTAGAGTGTGCAGTCGACAGAGCAGATACACACCAGTGCTCAAGCCTTCAGCTTAAGACTGAACTCTCAAACAGACTCCTACAGCTCCACTGCCACAGTGAGCGGTACAAGAACACGTTCATGCCACACTCCATACTGCACAACAACAAGTCACCACTCTGTGACAGAAAACACAGACTCCAACTTTATCTGCTTTGTTCTTGTATATATTGTATAGTAACAGATGTGTACTATCCTATTATCTCTGTATTTAATACTCTATATGTGTACATAATATATATATTCCTGAGTATCTATATCCAGATTATTCTATTCTCACAATATTGTCTTATTATTATTATTATTATTATTGTCAGAGTGTTACTTTGACTTTACTGTATCAACACAATTTCCCATGTGGCTCAAAGTCTAAGTCTAAACCTGCAGTGACCCTGTCAGGGCCGTGGTGAACACCCCAATCTAGATCCTGACAAATCTCTCAATACCAGACACACTTATTATCACCATTACCATTCATTATTTAAACTTGTAGAATGATGTATTTCTTTATGACCTATCTATAAATGCAGACACAGAGACACAAGAATGATTAAAAGAGGCCGTGAAGAAAGAGTTGATGCAGTGTTTTTACTTGAAGCAAATGGAGCAGGAAAAATGTTCATGACTTGATCTTGAAGGTTGAGTGAGTCGTCCTCAAAAAAAGAAACTGCCTCTTATATTGTTTGTTACGTTATTGTTTTTATCTAATCTCAGCAGTGGAAAGAGAGGGGAACGACTTTCTTCAATAAATAAACACACAAGTACATGTATACGCACACATACAGTACATACAGGCACACACACACATATACACACACACAAAGATACACACTCCGCACACACTCACAGACACACACACATACACACTCAGGCATACACACACACACACACACACAATAATGTCTATTTTTGATGAGTGAAAAATCTCAGAAAAGCCTTAAAGATGCTATACCCGATTTTTTCATAAAATGCTTATTAGTACATACAAATTGTATTACAATCCGTAATTTCATTGAAAACTTGAGCTCATTGATTCAGCTTGTGTATGAATTCAGGCCGTAAAAAGTGCTGAGTAGAGACTTTAGCGTGACGCTCGTTCTCCACTCACAGAACAAGCCTGCGTCCTCTAGCCTCTACAGCGCTGCTAAACAGAGTAGCATGTTAGCAGAATTGGCTATAACTCCTCTGGCTGTAACTGCATACATTGCAAAACAGCCCAAACGACACAACAGTGAGGAAGAGAAGAGGGAACTAAAGCGAAAAAATGATCAAAGAAGAAATCAAGGTGAACATGGCTAGCTTACATCATATCCTTTGGAGAGACTTGTCTTTGGGAGAGACCTGCGGGACCGCCTCGGACTATCTATGCTCGGACTACATTTG